AAAGAATCTCAAGCTGTTGAACTCTTAATTTCTAAAGGAGAGGAAGTATAATTTCTCAGTTATGTCGAGGAGCTCTCCTGAAACGGAGTCAAAAAATATATCCAGAAAAAACAGACAAACCATTTAGAAATGTCAATGGACATACTCAGGAAAGTCAAATGGAATTGAAGGTTATTTTTCCCCATCATTCCAAAATCTGTCTCGCCTTGTAACAATAAAAACTACACCAGACTGTCATTAACATCCAAACCTCTGAGCCCTGGACAAAGGAATGCAAGTTCAATGTGGTCGTTTGCCATTTATGGTGTAAAAATGAAAATGGTTATCAATAAACAAATAGGAAATTGTCGATTTTTTTTGTGTTTTTTTATTATGTGGTGTGTACACAAGAATGACTGACAGCAGAGAGGTGCCATTATTTTTACAAATATGTCAGGGGCTTTCTGAGAGAGAAAAACTGAGAACCACTGACATATGCCAAGTGTGTCCAAATACTTGATTAATTATTGAAATAATTGGTAGAATACTCAATATTAAATGACCACTTCCTTAGGAGTATATTTACATCCCTCCCCTGCTTTACACACCAACACAGACCTGTTTAGCTTGTGTAGTTTTGTAAATCATACTAATGTAGCGCCCATACCATGTAGCTAAAGAGTTAATCACTAGGTTAGATTGAAATGTAGTACATTGGTCGGGGCCCCTGGAATGTTATTTTAAAGATCGCCGTACTAACAGCTTACAGGAGATACAAGTTACTATTTATATTTAATTTAATGGCGGTGCCTCCACTTAGCAGGGAATTATGACGTTACACTTTGCATAACCCACTAAGAATTTTATTTGATTCACAAATAAAATTAAACAAAACAACAACCTTTTTAAACATAAAATTCAACCCCAAAATAATCCATTGTAGGCCTGAATCTATGCTTGGGTGCATGGGAGCTAAAAATAAACAGCTCGTTTGCTCACTGAGCAAATAAAAAAAAAAGTACGTGCATTGGTTTAGTTTTGCACTCACAAATCCTTCAGAGTTTGAGATTTGGATTGAGAAAATGTAGTGGAGATCTCTTTAATACGGCACTGAGTAAGGTAAGAAGGCAGGTGATCTCACATGAACACCGAGGTCCTTCCTGGCAGTAACCTCACAGATGGGAATCCAATGGCTGAATGGGGAACTTCTAACTCATCCAGCAGGTCCCAAGATTAGCTTCTGGTCCACTTTCATATGATTCTTAAAATCCGTTAGTCGGCCACTCTGCATTAACCATTGTAATAGAAAGCTTTACTCTGTTATTGTCGCACGTCTGCGATGCTGTACTCTCTGCCTTGTCTGTTTTTTTCACAGTCACATTTCATGCAGCGTACCATTAATCCCGCCCACTCCCATCTGATCGGGCAAAATAAAATGCTTAATCTAATACAAAACAAAACTGAACAAGATTGACACTTAGCACAACTCAAAGAGTAGGTTGTAACTTGCCACATAGCACACATGTGCATCACTCATCAAACAAACTTTTATGTGACCTTCAAGGAACATAGTAAAATTGACAACTGCCTGTTTCACCATGCTTAAACTAGATTTTCTTGACCAAATATGAACTCTTTTTAAAATTATACATTTCTAAATGACAAAGGAGTTTTATATCTTTCATATTTATTCCACTTTGATCTCTTAGACATTGTTTTTAAACTTAAATGACATTACTATGAATTTAGTTTGTACTATATAGCACAGTTCAAATTGGGCTACACCAATAACATGGCTGTAGTGAAATTGATATAGGTGCAACGATGAGACAATGTAAAAGGAGAAAGTGGAGGAATGTGAGAAGTGGTGCAGAGTAAATATCTCTGCATCAATATGAAGAAGCCCATGGAGATAGTTGTAGACTTCAGAAAACAAGTCTAAACTTTAATTCCACTCATTTTATTAAAGGAGCAGCTGTATATATTACCTGTTTTATGTATTTTGGTCTATATTTCCAGTGACTTAATGTAAGTGAGCGACGTGGCCAGCATCATAAAGAAAACTATCAGTGAATACATGTTCTCAGGAGGCTGAATTAGGCTGATCACAACTCTGTTCTAATGGTGTTTTACTGGTGGGAAGTGAAAAGTACATCCACCTCTTCCTTCACCACCTGGCACATGAACTGCTCTGCTGCTGACAGTAAGGTGCTGCAGATGGTGGTTAAATCTGTCTAAAAAAATAACTCACAGCAGTCTCCCCACTACTGAGAACATCTACAGCAGCAGGTGCTGAAGCAGAGGAGCTTTATCACCGAGGACCCCGCCCTTCCTGTATGTGAACTGTTTGACCTCTCCCTTCAGGTAGGAGGCTACAAAACATTAAAGTGAGAACACAGAGACTCCAGGACAGTTTCTTCCCAGAGGCTGTAAAGCCCTGCAAAACTATTTGTCTCACCAAATGACCCTTCCCTTTCATCTCACTGTGGTTCTGCTGCTACATTTACCAAGTTGCTTTGCTGTTCATTATTACTTAAAGACTATTAGCAACCTTTTAAAATTACTTCATTCTTTCATATTTTTGTACTTTATTGCTTTAATTGAATTGGTAGTGAGTAGCTAGACCTGACTGCAGATTGTGCTCTCGTGTCAGCAGTTATCTAATGCTGATAACGCTGAAAAAGGTTGACAGTAATGACACTAATCCACTAACCTCCCACTTCTCCACATACATGCATGCATCTTCAGCTAATTACTGTTCTTTGTCACTTGCTTGATGGCTGTCACATTTAGAGCCTGCACCGTCTGAACTACCAACACCAGTCTTATGCTCTACAAGCTCCAGTCTGTGTGGTTGGATAAAAACAAAATCAAGTTTATTCAGACGTCTGCTGGTTTTTATCATTGAAAAGTGACACCCTCTCAGTTAAAACTATTAAAAATGCACTCCTAATATGACTGTAAGTTTTCTCATTTGCATACTTGTAACACGGAGGAGTCAGTGTGCACCACCTTCTTTTAAAAAAAAAAAAAACAACTAAAAACAGGAACAGTTCTAAAAAGATCTAAAAAGAAAGTGATGAACGATGCTGCTTTTCCAACTAATGAGCAGAACAGAATGACAGATTAAAAAGAGCAAATACCCACCCAGGAATGAAACTATTTTTGTTTTCCTCCCGTGTCAAAAGGTATCAGTGCTGTAGCAAAAATATGACTAGAAAAAAATAAAATAAATCTTTATCATCTGCAGAGTTGTGTTAAAAAAAAAAAAATAAAAAAGAAGAAATTATACAAATTGAGAGAATGGGTGTGAAGTAAAAAAAAAAATATATAAATAAAACAAAATACTCTGAGTATTGAGAGCAGACATTTCAGTTCTCGTATTCTGACGTTAAACAAAGGGATGAAAAAGTTGAAACATCATATTTCAAAAACAATCTGAGCAATTTCTTTAGACTTATTAGTAACATTTTAAAATTACTTAATTATTTCATATATTTGTACTTTATTGCTTTAACTGAATTAGCAGTGAGTAGACTTATTATGGTGTTTCAGTGACGTAAGCAGAATAAACCACAGAAATTGCATTTCCTGTGAAAATGCAGTGTGAATGCTTATGGCTGAAGAACTTGATGAAAAACAGCTGAACCTAGCTAAAAAATGATGAAATGTAGCTGCAATGAAAGAACAAGCCTAAATTAGCAGAAGAAAGCAGAAAGATCACGTGCTTTAAAAAATGTTCAATACAAAAACAAATGGACTTTATTTGTAACAGAAGACGTTTCGCTCCTCATCCTCAAATAAAGTCCAGTTGTTTTTGTATTGAACATTTTTTGAATTTATCATGTCCTGGATGACTGAGAATCCTCACCAGCTAGATCACGTGCTGAATAAAATGAGCACAAAAAAGAGGATATCAGCTAAAAAAAAGCTAAAATTAGCAACAACAAAAAAAATCTAAAAAGTAGCTGAAAAGGCAGAAAGAAACTTAACCTATGAGAAGGACGTGGAAAGAGCTGAAATTAGCTAAAAAAATGTGGAATTACCTTGAAAAGCTAAAATGTTTGTTTTTGGCAATAGCTGAAATAGCAGAAAAAGCTGAAACTACCTGTAAAAAGCTGAAAGGAGCATAACAAGCTGAAATTAGCAGAAAGAAGTTAGAAGAAGCACAAAAATATTGTAGTTAGATGAATATGAAAGGAGAAGAAAACAGCTGAAATTAGCTGAAAATAGCTGGAAAAAAGTTCTAATTTGCACAAGGAAGCTGAAAGAAGCTGAAAGAAGCTGAAGCAGAACAAAATGTGAAAGGAGCAGTGAAAGGCTGTAAACAGATCTAAAGATCTGAAGATTTGCAATAACTTTCGAAGATGGCTTCTATGTCAAATATCTTTACTTGAGGTGCTTAACAGTAAAAAAAAAAAAAAGTAAGAAAAAAGATGAACAAACCCTGTACAGTGCATATGGTAGGAATCATAATAAAACATTATTATGTTCAAGTTGTAGCAACGTGCTCTACTTGTAGTTTTGTAATCAATCACATAAACTAGGCTAAGAGTAGCACATATTTTGTTGCCCTTATGTGTTTGCAAGAGGCACTACAGAACTAGAACACAGACCCTAGTAAAGCAGTAATAGCAAATAAGAAATGGTCTTTTGAGTGAAGGAGCAATTATGATGGAATCTGTGCATAAAATGACCATCTTCATTGAATGGAGTTGGCATGGAACAGAGCTTAAATGAGCTCTTCTGTTCAGCAGCAACCGAATAACTTTAGAGTAGAAAATCAAAATTATATGACAGATAATAGTTAGAGCCATCTGCTTTCCAGGTTGGGGAAAATACTTGCTTGTGTTCACCGATTCTAATTGGTCTAGGAGGAGCTGTTATGACAAATAAAAGACAAAGTTGTGTATAATGTGATGAAGATAGTGAGAGAACTAAGAAGCCTTTTGAGAAACTTAAAACTGTCACAGATACAGAAGTTTAGAGATGTACAGAGAAGGGAGGAAACTGTCACTTACCCATCACTTTTACAAAATAAGCATCAGCCTCAAAGTTGTTCTTCAAAGCATGGATCATCAAGTCCTTTTGGTCCTCTGCTTTGCTCAGGACAAACATGTCCAATATTCCCTGTGGATAAAAGAAGGCATATTTAAAAACAACAAAAAGAATCACACCTATATGTGTGAATCACACAGAAACTAATCTCATAATGAGACTGACGTAGAATCTCAGCACCTAGACAAATACTTCATACGCACTCATTTAAGATACATTATATTGCTACAGTGGGCAAAAAAACAAAACAAAAGACAAATTATAAAACATAAAAAAACAAGAAAATATGACAGTGTAATAATCATATTAGGTATACAGGTTGTAAAACCACACAAGCACAGCACACAAAATAAAAAAAAGCTTCTTCATATAATACAGTATCTGCGGAAAACAGTAAGTTAGTTATAATACTGCAACGCTTAATAAATTCAAAAACCGTGTCTTCAATCCATTTCTTGAACAGTACACTGAACGTTAAAGCAAAACTAGAAACTAAAAAGCTGTTTTTATGATGTGGACAAAAGCTTGTTCACGTTTCTGAACTGGAACATAAAATGTTCTTATTTGCTCTGTAAGATCTATTCATTTTGCTCTGCTTTATGCACTATTATGTTTTGCAGTAGACTTGATAATTTTCACAAAGTCAGGTCAATTTATTTGCACATTTATTACAGCAAGATACATTTGTAAACAATATTTATAAACAAAAGGCATTACTGAAAAGGTTAGGGTGAGATTGATGAGAAGTGCTAATTGGTAAGGTTCAGGTGCCACTAATGGAACAGACAACAACAAAATACATAAACAATATCAGCTACTCACGTCCTCATAGATGTCAAAGAATGTTGCCATGACAGCATTCCGGATCGCTCCCAAGTCTGACTGGTCCCAGTGGATGTGGAACATTCGTCCAACACTGGCACAGCTGAGGTTGTTACAGGGCACGTTCTCTAACAGGAAGGCCCGCTGCACACTGGGGGGGAGGGGGGGGGGGGGGGGTCAAAAAGAGGCAAAACACAAATTATTATTTAAATCCTAGATGTTGGTAAAGAGAGGCCTAATGTCATTCGATGCTCAGTCATCATTGACATCACATCTGACATTCTGTCAAAGAAATCCTTAAACATTTACTGAGCTTATGTAAATGAGCTGGGAGTAATGTGCAGCCAACTGAACACTTTAATCTTTTAGGTTAGGATCAAAGTTTAAAATTCAAACATTTAAATTATTTTTAAGGAGCACTGATGTCATTTAACAAGAACCTCCCCTGGCTGGAGACCAGAACAGTTTGAGCTGCTTGTTGACGCTGAAAAACACACCAGATATCTGATTTGAGGGATTATTTTGTATTTTTAAGAGGCATTTAATAGCTGTGTTTTCCATCTAAGCAAGTATGCAACATATTTTTATTCCATGACATTGCATTTGTTGTTGTGAACAAGCATGGCCTCTTTCTGCAAATGCAGCAAAACCCTTCTACTTGCACTTTGTATGCTCAAACTGAGACAATAGTGTCTCTTTTCTTAGTGGAAAACTGATTTAACCTTTTTCTTTATTTTGTTTTAAGACACAGTCCTGTATCCAAACTCAGAGCTCTTCAACAGACAAAAATATAGTAATTTAGGTCTAAAATAGAACATTTTAAAAACATTTTCTCTCACAAGATTTTGATGAGCCTCATTCATCTCCTCTACATTTTATCAACAAAAGTCTCTGGGTCATAGAAGTGAAAGTTCTTGACATCTAAGTGTATTTAGGAAATTCTAAGATTTTGAGAGCCCTTCAAAGGGAACATATATGTGTATTCTGCTACAATAAAAGAAAAAACAACTTTTTCTAGTAGTAACATGTTCCTACTTCACAGTGTGTGTAGTGTTAGTTACTCCCTTATTCTACCTGCTATAAAAAGTGGCTAAAAATACAAAATCTAAAGCATATTTGAGCACAAAAACAGAGGCCAAGAATAACATGACATATTTATTCACACACAGTGAAATTTTGAAAGCATGGTCTCAATAATAAAAGACAATACTACTTAATAGCTGTCTTTAATCAAGCAGATAAAGTAGTCAAACTGATACCTGTACATACTGGTAACTCCTGCACTTTGAGCTTGGTGCTATCATAAAGACTCGCTGAAGGGGAACAGTTTGTGATCTAGTGTTGTTATTGTGTTTGTTTTTTTTCTTTTTTCATGAATTGTGTAGGAATAATTTTGTTAGCCACTTTTAATAACTCCATTTATATGCAACTGGCGTCATTCATCTTCTTTATCTGAGTTATGGGAGGCTTGATGTTTTACATTGTGCTTCAGTACAACTATTTCAGTCCATAAAAATATGCTAATTTAGGTTGTCAATCATCCAGGACCAGGTAAAAAAATAATAATAAGTAAAAGAGATAGACATTAAAAAAAGATTAAAAAAGAAAGCTTTCCAAATGAGAAGTAAAATGTCTTCAACATTTTTATGGAGGTCCATCTGCTTTGTTTTACACATATTTTTTTATGGTTTATTGAAAACAGTCTAGCCAAAATATTAGTAATGCATGTCGAGAAAAATGGAAGGCCATGACTCCTTGCTTCATGACCTTACACATCATTATTTTATGTACAGCAGTCCCTCGTTACTTAGCAGTTTGTTTTTCATGGACTCGCTCTAGCGCATTTTTTCAAAATAAGATTGGACATGACACACAATTGGCTGATTGATGGATGAGCCATATGATTAGCATGGAATTTTTATTTAAAATGAATTATTTTAAATTATTCATCCATTTTCTTCCACTTATCCGGGGTCGGGTCGTGGGGGAAGCAGCCTAAAAAGGGAGGCCCAGACTTCCCTCTCCCCAGCCACTTGGTCCAGTTCCTCCAGGGGAATCCCGAGGCGTTCCCAGGCCAGCCGAGAAACATAGTCCCTCCAGCGTGTCCTGGGTCTTCCTCTGGGTCTCCTCCCGGTGGGACGTGTCCGGAACAGCTCAGCAGGGAGGCGTCCAGGAGGCATCCTAACCAGATGCCCGAGCCACCTCAACTGGCTCCTCTCGACGTGGAGAAGCAGCGGCTCCACTCTGAGTCCCTCCCGGATGATCGAGCTTCTCACCCTATCTCTGAGGGAGAGCCCAGACACCCTGCAGAGAAAACTCAATTCGGTCGCTTGTATCCAAGATCTCGTTCTTTCGGTCACAAACCAAAGCTCATGACCATAGATGAGGGTAGGAACGTAGATCGATCGGTAAATTGAGAGCTTTACCTTTTGACTCAGCTCTCTCTTCACCACGACAGACCTGTACAGCGCCCGCTTCACTGCAGACGCTGCACCTATACACCTATCGATCTCACGCTCTCACCTGCTGCACCTGTGTGCAGCCCACAACTGCAGGAGAAGCTTCCTTCTGCAGCGTGTCAGATCTCCGCTCTGTAGCGGATAAATGGGCGTGGCCAAGAGCACTGGCAGAGTGCAGCAGGAGGCAGAGAGCTGAACTCATGACATGCTGTGCTCTTTTACTGTGCATAGTTTCATTGTTTAGAATATTGCAAGCGTGTGTAAAGGGTTGAAAACACCTTTATGTATATATATATATATATATATATATATATATATATATATGTATTAAAATAAACTACTACTTATGACTTGTACTACTATTCCTACTTTGCGGATTTTCACATTGCAGGACTTCATGGTATGGATACCTGCGATAAACGATAAACCATTTGTAATATGCCAGTAACTCTGTCTAAAGTACTTTTACTTTATGGATAAATGTTCAGTAATGCTGTCTGTGTACTCCATTTGTAAAAACAACCCCACACGCTCTTGAGGCTAGTTGTTTCCTTTGGCAAACAGAATACTTTGACAAAATGTGTTATTATTGTTAGTCTTAGTGTTATTAGTGTTTGATGTCAGTTTATATTGTACGATCTGGACATGTGAAAATTTATGAGCGAGCGGGTTTGAAGAACAGATTATGAGACCACTAGCTGTAATTAATTATACTGAAACAAGCTGAAGGTTTGTTAAAATGTCACACTGCACACTCTGTTAATCCTGAACCTGTGCAATGACTTCCTCCCACCTCACTAGACCTAAAACCAACAGTCACAAATGACACGAATGTCACAAAAACCTGTTACTACAGCACCTGTTACTGTTACAGAGGAAAATTCACTGACAGATTTTCAGCCCAATAGTGTGCGTGTGTTAAAGAAAACATTACTTGTAAAATTTGGGAATTTTCACGCTGAAACATTAAAATGCATTGCCTGCTCACCAACATGTGTGTCCTCTCTCAGTTATATACTCTAAAAGAGTCTTTTTACAGCACTGCAGGGGTTGTCAGGGTAAAATGAACTCAAGGTCGTAATGCAGATCTCACACACACACACCAACTGCACATGGTCTACACACTGAAACAACTTTGCTCTGTGGATCTGTTTTGTGTGAACTGCAGCAGACTAGACATTATTTTACACATAGGCACACATAAAAAAGTAAAAACATCATATTCAGATAAAGTTATTACTAGAATGATCAAAGCTCAATACTTCAACCATTTGGTAAAGGACATACTGGTACTTTGGTACAGAATAAGAACATTTTAAATCAGATTTGTTCATAGCATGCCTAAAGATTTTAAGTTTTTGAGTTAACTTTTGCTGTCTTTTCAAAATACATTTCATACAGGACCAGATTTGGATTTCAGTGTTCAACATTTAACAATAAAAGGTTATTACTTTGGTATATATATCATTTCTTTTTTCTTTCTTTTTTCTAAAAATGGCACATTTAAAAGACCACTTGTTCATGGTCAAAGTGTTTTTTTTTTGTTTTGTTTTTTCCAAAATAGAACAGAAATGGAAAACAGAAAAGTAGACCCTAGCTTTAGAAAGAGCATCTGCAGAGAAGGTGGTCAACATTTCCATAAATAAGTCACTTATTCAAGTTCATTTTAACAATCACAAAGGACAACACTCTTTATATAAAAAAGGCTTGTTCCAGTGGTGAAGCAAACATCATATTACCCCTGAGCTTTCCTTATGTTTACAAACTAAAACGCCTGCTGTGAAATAAGCCTACTGTTGAGGAGCTAGAGAAGAAGAATCTGTGCTTCTGACACCCTAACCTCACAAAGACAATTTTCTGTTTAATTTTGTATCAAGTGCATGTGCCTGATTTTTACATTCACACTATTGAGACCAGATAAATGCCAAAACATCTGAAAGCAGCACAGGTCTTCCTTGTCCTACTTCACAATGTCCCTTTAACGTTAAGTAGGATTTCTGTCACAATATATGTGTATGTATGTACGTGTGTGTATATATATATATATCCATCCATCCATTTTCTTTACCCGTTTATTCCATTTTTGGGTCACGGGGGTCGCTGGTGCCCATGTCCAGCAATCACTGTGCGAGGGGCGGGGTACACCCTGGACGGGTCGCAAGTCCATCACAGGGCCACATAGAGACAAACGAGACAAACAACCATTCACTCTCTCACTCACACCTAGGGGCAATTTAGAGTTACCAATCAGCCTAACATGCATGTTTTTGGACTGTGGGAGGAAACCGGAGTACCCGGAGAAAACCCACGCATGCACGGAGAGAACATGCAAACTCCACCCAGAAAGGCCCCTGGACC